GATCCGGAGCGGAAATTCCTCTCTCCGTTTTTGTGAATGACAAACTCATTAACAATTCATCAACACGGGGCCGCGCCATCCGGCCCCCGTTTCCACGGCGACCGCCGCTGGGGGCGCTCTGATTGGCCAATCCGCCTAATGTATCCAATGAAACGCCTCCTGTTTGTAGCCATTCAGAAGCCTGGCGTCGCAGAGAGAGGCAGCCACAGACACAGACACAGCACGGACCGAACCACAGCCACAGCCGCAGCAGCGACAACACAGAGAACACAGCCGCAGGAAGAGGCGCAGAAACACGGATACGAAGTCGCACTTTTCACCCTCGTCCATCCAACCGTCCACCCGGAGCGAACGCCGAGGAGCAGCGGCAGAGGTGTCTCTGAGGCCGGGGTGACTCATTGATAAATACCGCTGACGAAGACGCATGAATGAGCGCCAGTCTGTGCAGCGGACGACCGGGGATTCAGTGAAGGAGGTTCGAGTCTTTGGTCCTGAAGCTCTCAGGGAGTGACATTTGGAGGGAGATCTGTTCGATTCTGATCGTGACCACTTTGTTTTATTTTTTTTTATTTTTTATTTTGGTGAAGGTTGTGTTTTCGTGCACACACCTCGGTGTTTTGTTTTGCCGAGGCCCTCAGGAAACAACAACAACAACAGCAGCAGCAGCAGAAGAGGAAGAACCGCAGCGGAGTGAAGTCCAACCCATTCACACTCGGAGCCTCTGCTGCAGCCAGGGAGGATCGCGCTGCTTTTCCCCAGCTTTGTTACGACCTTCCTCGTATAAATGCTCGACAAGCTGAAGCCCGTCGTCCAGCTCGACTCCGTGATGGCGATCAGTAAGACGGCGGGCTGGCTCCGGGAGCAGCTGGAGACGCGGAGGGACGCGCTGCTCGTCATGGACTGTCGGGCCCAGGAGCTGTACGAGTCGGCGCACGTCGAGACGGCCATCAACGTGGCCATCCCCAGCCTCATGCTGCGGAGGCTCAAGAAGGGGAATCTCCCCGTCAGATCGCTGCTCTCCGACGGCGAGGACCGCGAGAGGTTCGTGCGCCGCTGCAAGACGGACACCATCGTCCTGTACGACGAGTACAGCCGGGAGTGGAACGAGAACGTGGACGGGGGCTCGGTGCTGGGGTTACTGCTGAGGAGGATGAAGGACGAGGGCTACAAGGCCTTTTATCTGGAGGGTAAGAGGGGGGAGAGAGAGGGGGGAGAGAGAGGTTCATTCACATTTCAGGGACCAGTGAATGAACGCGGCCGCAGAGCCTTTGATTCACAAGGTTTAGTGACAGAAAAGAACGAGTCTGAGCAGTTTGGAATTGAACCAAGTTCAACCACAACAACAAAACACGGCTTATTTTACCACCAAGTCGTTGGGGTTTTTTTAAAAAAAAAAAAAAATTTTTTTGTAGTATTTTTTGCAGAAATGCCCAAAAGCGTAGCAGGTTAAAAAGGTAAATAAATAAAGTAGAGAGGGAATTTATTTTTTAATGTTGGCTATTTTAGTTTATAATTAAAACAAAATGGTTAGTCTTAGTTACAGTGGTTACCAAGTACTGAAATTAAACACAGCTGTTTTCACAGTTAAAAATGTATCTATGTGTAGTTTAATCCGTGAAGAGCGATCTGATTGGCTGCTGCAGCGTCAGTCCAGACATCTGTTAATGTTCTTTTTTTTTCTGCTTCCAGGTGGTTTCAGTAAGTTCCACGCCGAGTACCCGTCTCTGTGTGAAACCAACCTGGACGGCACCTCCAACAGCAGCTCACCCACCGCCCACGTGCTGGGGCTGGGGGGGCTGCGCATCAGCTCCGACTCCTCGGACATCGAGTCGGACATCGACCGCGAGCCCAGCAGCGCCACCGACTCGGACGGCAGCCCCCTGTCCAACCCACAGCCCTGCTTCCCCGTGGAGATCCTGCCGCACCTGTACCTGGGCTGTGCCAAGGACTCCACCAACCTGGACGTGCTGGAGGAGTACGGCATCAAGTACATCCTCAACGTCACGCCCAACCTGCCCAACCTCTTTGAGAACGCCGGGGAGTTCAAGTACAAGCAGATCCCCATCTCAGACCACTGGAGCCAGAATCTCTCCCAGTTCTTCCCAGAGGCCATCAGCTTTATTGGTGAGTAATCTCACAGAGCA